CGAGCAGATACTCTTGTTTGCTTTTATCCATCTCTTTTAGCTTAATTGCCTGCTTTTTGAGCCGAGTTTCGAGATCGCGAGTCAAGTTCTGATATCCTTGAAGTGTCTCTTCTGTAGCTGACAAGATGTTTACTTTCGTTTTATTTTTGACAGTTTTAGTGCTTTGGGCGAATTCTGGTGTAGATCTAGTCTCCTCCTCTGCAGCTAAAGTAACATTCCCGATAATCAATGATTTGGCATTACCGCCAAGAGCCTGTGAGAGCAGTCTAGTCAATTTCGAATCGCGATAACTGATAAACTCCTTCCCCTCGCTTAGTTGCCTTATCACATTTCCTAATACTGACAAAGATTTGTTTATGTTAGCCCCCTCTTTAAGACGCTCACCAGCAGCTTTCGTCAGAGAAACTCTCTCAGAACCAGCTAAGTCCATTAAGTTAAGGTAGCTTATATGTACAGGTCCATCTTTCTGATTGGCATCTTTCGACTCCAGAATAATCCGGAAAATCGTGTGTGATCGAGATGACCTCTCATTCATGCGAGTAGCTGCAACTCGTCTGATCTTATTGCCCTGCATCATGTTCTCCATAACTTTATCAACATTGTCTACGACAGCTTCCCTTGCATCAAGCAGCACATTTCCTTTGATATCTTCTCATAGTTAAACCCTGATTGCTCTTATCCAGGAGGTCATTGATCTTTTCATTGTAGATTTCAATATAACTGCATCTAATCAAGTACCTCTTATCAACCTGGTCTGCCACATGCTGGAATAACTGATTGGATACTAATTGGAAAAGCCCAGGATCTGTTTTATTGCCCAAAATGGTGTGTGTTTTGCCAGAAGATGTTTGGCCATATGCAAATATTGTGGCATTGAAACCTTCCATGAAGGAATCGACTAAAGGTTTTACTACAGATCCATATACATCTGAATTTGTACATTCCTGATTAAATACATGGTCGAATATATAAACCTCTCCATGGCGACTACTTTCATCGGCTTCCCATATGCAGTTTACTCTTACGTTCCAAAGACGCTCTAGACCATCGGCTACTTCGCGGTGGATCATTGGTCTGATCTTTGTGGCTACTTTAATATTGTTGGAAGTCATTTTGGAAGCTTGAACTGAAATTTAATTAGAACTAGGGCTATTTCACGGGTTATAAAGAGGGGCAGATGTATCAGGTTGATACATTCTTTTTTTCCTCCTTTCCAGTATAGAAGATTTTTTTCTCTTGTAGGCTATGAATGCGGTCCGATAGTTTAGTAGAGCTACATTTACAGGGTGACTCAAAATCAAAGAAGAAACAGAATTGTTAAATTTCATATAGACTGTTATTGTTATTACAAAAAGAAGTTGAAGCAGCAGCAAATTCTCACAAATCTATAGATCCATCACTTTCAGCACCCGATTTTTCAACTTGAAAAATGCAGCTCGGTGAAGAATCACAAGGTAACTGTTGTCTATTCAGACAATACTCTTCTAAAAGCAACGCGAAGTTACCTAGTGCCTTACATGAATCGCCTTCATAATTCTTCATTATTGTCAATGGAAAACTGAAATTGTTGATTATTACAGTTTTTAATGCTTCAAATAAACAGATGGTGTTCGTGTTGGAAATCCCACGTCTAATCTCGCAAAACAGGTTATCCACCGGATCTTACTATCAACATCTGAAATGCCATTACTGTTTTTAGCCATGTGTACAACAGGTTTGTACGCATAAGACACTCTTACATGAAAACTGTTTATTGTCTAAAAACGAAAATACCCCATTGAAGATGAGTAATGCAATAAATATAATCCTCGAAACTTGAACTGTAATATGAACATAAAAAAACTAACAAAATGGGCCATTTAACAACATATTTGGTGTTGATATTCTACAACAAAAACAAATACTTTCTCGTATAAGGAAACATACAATAATTAACATTTATCACTTTTCACGAAACAATGTAAGTGCGCTGTGACTTTACATACTTATTACAGATTGTAGAACATTTTTTTCATTGTGTATTGTCATGTAACACCTACGTCGTTTTTTTTCTTTAACAACTGCATCAGGATCGAGAACTCTGGGCTGAGAAGTAGACGGCTTACTTTATTCGTCGTTGGTAATTTAGGATTCTTTGCATGGCTGAACGAAGCTCCCTAGGAAGTCTTGGATCTGATAAACGTCCTCTCATACGAAGTTAAATTAGAGTTTGCCTCAGGGGAACAATAAAATTTCGTCGCCTAATGGAACTTTCAGTCCCAGACTGAAAAAAAAAGGAATTTACAGAAGCTGGTTGGATACCAAATAGCACAAGGCCATCTTCTCGTTCTCTAACCAGTATTGTAATTTACACACTTCCGATCTAATGCATTACCCCCCGCCTTCATAGTGTTATAAAAATAATATAGGATCTTATCAGGTTTCTTTGATTCCTCTACTATTTTGTTATCATGCTGCATAGATTGCTATACGAGAACATGTGTATTTGGTTTTGGAAGATACTACTCTAAGGCTGTACAACATAAACTTAGAAGTACCTGGCTGTGTTTCCTTCTTATTTGGAACTACATGTTGGGGTACTTGTTACTTATTTTTACGCTTCCTGCCGACATAGGTCAGTTGGTTGATGCGCAATTCTACATGTAATTCTACTGACGTGAACCAGTCATCTGCTGTGATATTTCTGTTCGTATAGACGAAAGCATTGAGCAGGTAGTGGTGAGTCTTTGCATCATCAGTCCATACTTATTCGGTTTAGTTTTCTTGTAGGCACAGGAAGGACATCGGCCCACGAGCATCTCGTATTTTGTAGGGGACTCACCCGAAATATAACAATTTCGACAGTTCTCTATGAGTGTCTCGAAAATTTCACGTATTTGGAGAAATTTATCGGCATTTCTCGAGTCACAGGGTTATTATTTTCCAAATTGGTTGCCACGGACTTTAGTTCAGGTAAATGCGTAATAATCGACCAGTTGCAGGCGCTCGTTTTGACCAATTGTACATGTTTTTTCCATAGGCATAGCGAGGTCGCCCATAGGAAGTTGTTCAGGTTGATCGATAGCAGCGTCGTCCTCGGCGTAGTCTATAGTGTATTGTTCATCCGTCAACAACGAAAAAATCCATTGTGAAGGAAGTTCAAATCGTACACGCAACTGACATCCTCGGATCAAATTTGACCGCAAAGTCAACAAACCAACAATTGTGATGTTTAAATTAAACTGTGGTTTGAGGTATACGTGCTCATACCGTATGAGAAGTCACGGGACCCCCACCACATAACTGAGAAAGCTCGAATCATCCGACGATATCATTAAAGGATTAATTTCTATATTCTTGAACGAATCTATAAAATCAAAGTGGCTGGGTTTCAATTTACATAGCTCTTTGTATGGTCTTGTTTGCTGATCAACATTATATGATTTCTAGACATGTTCAATCTGTGCAGCTTCTTCACTTTCATATTAATGTCAATAAGAGCATTTCCATTTTTTGAATAAATGTGGTTCATCACAAATTGTAGAAATACTCTGAGCATTGACTATAAAATGGAATGGACTTGATCCGTGAGTATTCTCCGAGCAAATCGTCTCAAGTGCGTTTTTGATCGTTGCGCCCTGATTAGAAATAGTGCCAACAACGCACAAACCAAGTCGCTGCTAGTTTGTGATCACATGAACAATAATCGTTTTCAGATCTGGGATTCTTGTATCTTTTACTAGATAATAAGCCACAACCTGCTTATAATTTTTACGAATCCCTCTTATCATGGAAGTAAGGGCATGATTTCTGATAAATCACTTTTTCAGAGTTCTAGTTGATTTTGTTACCTCAGAATTCAAGATTTATTAGCTGAAAATTGTACACTGTGAGCACTGGGATCAGCCCTAAACTTTGTCCAAACCCTGCAATAATCGTAAACACTAAACAAGGGTAGACATATTTCTAGTTTAACTGCCTGAAGATTTTCTCTATGGTTTATACGTAACTCTCCACCTATTATCTCATTTTTGTACATGTTCTGGGAGAACTCAACTTGCTCCCTATAAAATGCAACGTCTTCCTGCACAGGTGGTTCTGGTTAAGTGCCAGCCTGCTTCGGGTTTGTAATTAGTTGTTGCAATTTTCTGATTTCGTCGTCCTTTTTCATAATCCAGATTTCGTTTTGGCATTCCAGTTCAGCCATTTGATCCTGAAGCTCTTTTATAGTAGAATCATTATGGCATCGTATATCTGAGATTTTAAATGAGTGGTTGACCTCACGTTGGTTACTCTCGTCCATCAGACTCTTTACGTCATTTCTCAGTTTAGATTCAAGTTCTTTTAGGAAGCCAATTTCATCTTGCAGTTCAGCAATGTGTGACATCGTTACATCAGTTTGTGCAGCAGCACTTAAAGAATGTTGCATATCTTCGTACTCAGCGTCAAGCATAGCTTCTAAGTCTGCAACCTTCTTTTTTGACTCAATATTTTGAGCTTCAAGAGATGGTTTAGGGCTCTCTGATCTTCCTAGGTTCTTCAGTTGAGTACGCAGCATCTCTATTTCTGACTCGTATGTTTTTAGTCTTTTTATTATTTTTTTCCAGAAAATCGAGTCTGTATTGCAAGTCGATGAAATTCTTGCGCTTTTTGAGAATTTTTTTGAACTCTTTCTATTTCTTCGTTGTACGCATCCGTTACTTGGCGGAGTTCCTGACTGTAACGATCGAATTTAGAATTGGCTTCTGTGAGCTGTTTCTTCAGGTCCAAAATCTCCAGCTGATTATCTAGTTTAGTGAATTCTCTAAGCTCATTGAAAGATTCTTCCAGTTCTTTGAGTTGTCTTTTAAGTACACTTGCACGTCTTCAGCTATCACAGATTCTGCTTCGGCTAGTGCCTCCTCATATGTCTCTTCTTGAATAGGCCTCATTTCACGTCCGGATGATTCTTCTTTGGGTGGATAATTTTTCAATGGCATATACCCTAGGGATGCTTTTTTAGGTGATACGTTGCCATAGTGTCCAAAAGTATGACGTCTTAATGTTTTTTTCGGTGTTGATGCCGAGGCTCCCATTTGAAAGCGCCCGACAATAGATACTTCCGTTTTTAGTCTTTCTATCTCGAGCAGATACTCTTGTTTGCTTTTATCCATCTCTTTTAGCTTAATTGCCTGCTTTTTGAGCCGAGTTTCGAGATCGCGAGTCAAGTTCTGATATCCTTGAAGTGTCTCTTCTGTAGCTGACAAGATGTTTACTTTCGTTTTATTTTTGACAGTTTTAGTGCTTTGGGCGAATTCTGGTGTAGATCTAGTCTCCTCCTCTGCAGCTAAAGTAACATTCCCGATAATCAATGATTTGGCATTACCGCCAAGAGCCTGTGAGAGCAGTCTAGTCAATTTCGAATCGCGATAACTGATAAACTCCTTCCCCTCGCTTAGTTGCCTTATCACATTTCCTAATACTGACAAAGATTTGTTTATGTTAGCCCCCTCTTTAAGACGCTCACCAGCAGCTTTCGTCAGAGAAACTCTCTCAGAACCAGCTAAGTCCATTAAGTTAAGGTAGCTTATATGTACAGGTCCATCTTTCTGATTGGCATCTTTCGACTCCAGAATAATCCGGAAAATCGTGTGTGATCGAGATGACCTCTCATTCATGCGAGTAGCTGCAACTCGTCTGATCTTATTGCCCTGCATCATGTTCTCCATAACTTTATCAACATTGTCTACGACAGCTTCCATTGCAGCACATTTCCTTTGATATCTTCTCATAGTTAAACCCTGATTGCTCTTATCCAGGAGGTCATTGATCTTTTCATTGTAGATTTCAATATAACTGCATCTAATCAAGTACCTCTTATCAACCTGGTCTGCCACATGCTGGAATAACTGATTGGATACTAATTGGAAAAGCCCAGGATCTGTTTTATTGCCCAAAATGGTGTGTGTTTTGCCAGAAGATGTTTGGCCATATGCAAATATTGTGGCATTGAAACCTTCCATGAAGGAATCGACTAAAGGTTTTACTACAGATCCATATACATCTGAATTTGTACATTCCTGATTAAATACATGGTCGAATATATAAACCTCTCCATGGCGACTACTTTCATCGGCTTCCCATATGCAGTTTACTCTTACGTTCCAAAGACGCTCTAGAACCATCGGCTACTTCGCGGTGGATCATTGGTCTGATCTTTGTGGCTACTTTAATATTGTTGGAAGTCATTTTGGAAGCTTGAACTGAAATTTAATTAGAACTAGGGCTATTTCACGGGTTATAAAGAGGGGCAGATGTATCAGGTTGATACATTCTTTTTTTCCTCCTTTCCAGTATAGAAGATTTTTTTCTCTTGTAGGCTATGAATGCGGTCCGATAGTTTAGTAGAGCTACATTTACAGGGTGACTCAAAATCAAAGAAGAAACAGAATTGTTAAATTTCATATAGACTGTTATTGTTATTACAAAAAGAAGTTGAAGCAGCAGCAAATTCTCACAAATCTATAGATCCATCACTTTCAGCACCCGATTTTTCAACTTGAAAAATGCAGCTCGGTGAAGAATCACAAGGTAACTGTTGTCTATTCAGACAATACTCTTCTAAAAGCAACGCGAAGTTACCTAGTGCCTTACATGAATCGCCTTCATAATTCTTCATTATTGTCAATGGAAAACTGAAATTGTTGATTATTACAGTTTTTAATGCTTCAAATAAACAGATGGTGTTCGTGTTGGAAATCCCACGTCTAATCTCGCAAAACAGGTTATCCACCGGATCTTACTATCAACATCTGAAATGCCATTACTGTTTTTAGCCATGTGTACAACAGGTTTGTACGCATAAGACACTCTTACATGAAAACTGTTTATTGTCTAAAAACGAAAATACCCCATTGAAGATGAGTAATGCAATAAATATAATCCTCGAAACTTGAACTGTAATATGAACATAAAAAAACTAACAAAATGGGCCATTTAACAACATATTTGGTGTTGATATTCTACAACAAAAACAAATACTTTCTCGTATAAGGAAACATACAATAATTAACATTTATCACTTTTCACGAAACAATGTAAGTGCGCTGTGACTTTACATACTTATTACAGATTGTAGAACATTTTTTTCATTGTGTATTGTCATGTAACACCTACGTCGTTTTTTTTCTTTAACAACTGCATCAGGATCGAGAACTCTGGGCTGAGAAGTAGACGGCTTACTTTATTCGTCGTTGGTAATTTAGGATTCTTTGCATGGCTGAACGAAGCTCCCTAGGAAGTCTTGGATCTGATAAACGTCCTCTCATACGAAGTTAAATTAGAGTTTGCCTCAGGGGAACAATAAAATTTCGTCGCCTAATGGAACTTTCAGTCCCAGACTGAAAAAAAAAGGAATTTACAGAAGCTGGTTGGATACCAAATAGCACAAGGCCATCTTCTCGTTCTCTAACCAGTATTGTAATTTACACACTTCCGATCTAATGCATTACCCCCCGCCTTCATAGTGTTATAAAAATAATATAGGATCTTATCAGGTTTTTTGATTCCTCTACTATTTTGTTATCATGCTGCATAGATTGCTATACGAGAACATGTGTATTTGGTTTTGGAAGATACTACTCTAAGGCTGTACAACATAAACTTAGAAGTACCTGGCTGTGTTTCCTTCTTATTTGGAACTACATGTTGGGGTACTTGTTACTTATTTTTACGCTTCCTGCCGACATAGGTCAGTTGGTTGATGCGCAATTCTACATGTAATTCTACTGACGTGAACCAGTCATCTGCTGTGATATTTCTGTTCGTATAGACGAAAGCATTGAGCAGGTAGTGGTGAGTCTTTGCATCATCAGTCCATACTTATTCGGTTTAGTTTTCTTGTAGGCACAGGAAGGACATCGGCCCACGAGCATCTCGTATTTTGTAGGGGACTCACCCGAAATATAACAATTTCGACAGTTCTCTATGAGTGTCTCGAAAATTTCACGTATTTGGAGAAATTTATCGGCATTTCTCGAGTCACAGGGTTATTATTTTCCAAATTGGTTGCCACGGACTTTAGTTCAGGTAAATGCGTAATAATCGACCAGTTGCAGGCGCTCGTTTTGACCAATTGTACATGTTTTTTCCATAGGCATAGCGAGGTCGCCCATAGGAAGTTGTTCAGGTTGATCGATAGCAGCGTCGTCCTCGGCGTAGTCTATAGTGTATTGTTCATCCGTCAACAACGAAAAAATCCATTGTGAAGGAAGTTCAAATCGTACACGCAACTGACATCCTCGGATCAAATTTGACCGCAAAGTCAACAAACCAACAATTGTGATGTTTAAATTAAACTGTGGTTTGAGGTATACGTGCTCATACCGTATGAGAAGTCACGGGACCCCCACCACATAACTGAGAAAGCTCGAATCATCCGACGATATCATTAAAGGATTAATTTCTATATTCTTGAACGAATCTATAAAATCAAAGTGGCTGGGTTTCAATTTACATAGCTCTTTGTATGGTCTTGTTTGCTGATCAACATTATATGATTTCTAGACATGTTCAATCTGTGCAGCTTCTTCACTTTCATATTAATGTCAATAAGAGCATTTCATCCATTTTTGAATAAATGTGGTTCATCACAAATTGTAGAAATACTCTGAGCATTGACTATAAAATGGAATGGACTTGATCCGTGAGTATTCTCCGAGCAAATCGTCTCAAGTGCGTTTTTGATCGTTGCGCCCTGATTAGAAATAGTGCCAACAACGCACAAACCAAGTCGCTGCTAGTTTGTGATCACATGAACAATAATCGTTTTCAGATCTGGGATTCTTGTATCTTTTACTAGATAATAAGCCACAACCTGCTTATAATTTTTACGAATCCCTCTTATCATGGAAGTAAGGGCATGATTTCTGATAAATCACTTTTTCAGAGTTCTAGTTGATTTTGTTACCTCAGAATTCAAGATTTATTAGCTGAAAATTGTACACTGTGAGCACTGGGATCAGCCCTAAACTTTGTCCAAACCCTGCAATAATCGTAAACACTAAACAAGGGTAGACATATTTCTAGTTTAACTGCCTGAAGATTTTCTCTATGGTTTATACGTAACTCTCCACCTATTATCTCATTTTTGTACATGTTCTGGGAGAACTCAACTTGCTCCCTATAAAATGCAACGTCTTCCTGCACAGGTGGTTCTGGTTAAGTGCCAGCCTGCTTCGGGTTTGTAATTAGTTGTTGCAATTTTCTGATTTCGTCGTCCTTTTTCATAATCCAGATTTCGTTTTGGCATTCCAGTTCAGCCATTTGATCCTGAAGCTCTTTTATAGTAGAATCATTATGGCATCGTATATCTGAGATTTTAAATGAGTGGTTGACCTCACGTTGGTTACTCTCGTCCATCAGACTCTTTACGTCATTTCTCAGTTTAGATTCAAGTTCTTTTAGGAAGCCAATTTCATCTTGCAGTTCAGCAATGTGTGACATCGTTACATCAGTTTGTGCAGCAGCACTTAAAGAATGTTGCATATCTTCGTACTCAGCGTCAAGCATAGCTTCTAAGTCTGCAACCTTCTTTTTTGACTCAATATTTTGAGCTTCAAGAGATGGTTTAGGGCTCTCTGATCTTCCTAGGTTCTTCAGTTGAGTACGCAGCATCTCTATTTCTGACTCGTATGTTTTTAGTCTTTTTATTATTTTTTTCCAGAAAATCGAGTCTGTATTGCAAGTCGATGAAATTCTTGCGCTTTTTGAGAATTTTTTTGAACTCTTTCTATTTCTTCGTTGTACGCATCCGTTACTTGGCGGAGTTCCTGACTGTAACGATCGAATTTAGAATTGGCTTCTGTGAGCTGTTTCTTCAGGTCCAAAATCTCCAGCTGATTATCTAGTTTAGTGAATTCTCTAAGCTCATTGAAAGATTCTTCCAGTTCTTTGAGTTGTCTTTTAAGTACACTTGCACGTCTTCAGCTATCACAGATTCTGCTTCGGCTAGTGCCTCCTCATATGTCTCTTCTTGAATAGGCCTCATTTCACGTCCGGATGATTCTTCTTTGGGTGGATAATTTTTCAATGGCATATACCCTAGGGATGCTTTTTTAGGTGATACGTTGCCATAGTGTCCAAAAGTATGACGTCTTAATGTTTTTTTCGGTGTTGATGCCGAGGCTCCCATTTGAAAGCGCCCGACAATAGATACTTCCGTTTTTAGTCTTTCTATCTCGAGCAGATACTCTTGTTTGCTTTTATCCATCTCTTTTAGCTTAATTGCCTGCTTTTTGAGCCGAGTTTCGAGATCGCGAGTCAAGTTCTGATATCCTTGAAGTGTCTCTTCTGTAGCTGACAAGATGTTTACTTTCGTTTTATTTTTGACAGTTTTAGTGCTTTGGGCGAATTCTGGTGTAGATCTAGTCTCCTCCTCTGCAGCTAAAGTAACATTCCCGATAATCAATGATTTGGCATTACCGCCAAGAGCCTGTGAGAGCAGTCTAGTCAATTTCGAATCGCGATAACTGATAAACTCCTTCCCCTCGCTTAGTTGCCTTATCACATTTCCTAATACTGACAAAGATTTGTTTATGTTAGCCCCCTCTTTAAGACGCTCACCAGCAGCTTTCGTCAGAGAAACTCTCTCAGAACCAGCTAAGTCCATTAAGTTAAGGTAGCTTATATGTACAGGTCCATCTTTCTGATTGGCATCTTTCGACTCCAGAATAATCCGGAAAATCGTGTGTGATCGAGATGACCTCTCATTCATGCGAGTAGCTGCAACTCGTCTGATCTTATTGCCCTGCATCATGTTCTCCATAACTTTATCAACATTGTCTACGACAGCTTCCCTTGCATCAAGCAGCACATTTCCTTTGATATCTTCTTATAGTTAAACCCTGATTGCTCTTATCCAGGAGGTCATTGATCTTTTCATTGTAGATTTCAATATAACTGCATCTAATCAAGTACCTCTTATCAACCTGGTCTGCCACATGCTGGAATAACTGATTGGATACTAATTGGAAAAGCCCAGGATCTGTTTTATTGCCCAAAATGGTGTGTGTTTTGCCAGAAGATGTTTGGCCATATGCAAATATTGTGGCATTGAAACCTTCCATGAAGGAATCGACTAAAGGTTTTACTACAGATCCATATACATCTGAATTTGTACATTCCTGCTTAAATACATGGTCGAATATATAAACCTCTCCATGGCGACTACTTTCATCGGCTTCCCATATGCAGTTTACTCTTACGTTCCAAAGACGCTCTAGACCATCGGCTACTTCGCGGTGGATCATTGGTCTGATCTTTGTGGCTACTTTAATATTGTCGGAAGTCATTTTGGAAGCTTGAACTGAAATTTAATTAGAACTAGGGCTATTTCACGGGTTATAAAGAGGGGCAGATGTATCAGGTTGATACATTCTTTTTTTCCTCCTTTCCAGTATAGAAGATTTTTTTCTCTTGTAGGCTATGAATGCGGTCCGATAGTTTAGTAGAGCTACATTTACAGGGTGACTCAAAATCAAAGAAGAAACAGAATTGTTAAATTTCATATAGACTGTTATTGTTATTACAAAAGAAGTTGAAGCAGCAGCAAATTCTCACAAATCTATAGATCCATCACTTTCAGCACCCGATTTTTCAACTTGAAAAATGCAGCTCGGTGAAGAATCACAAGGTAACTGTTGTCTATTCAGACAATACTCTTCTAAAAGCAACGCGAAGTTACCTAGTGCCTTACATGAATCGCCTTCATAATTCTTCATTATTGTCAATGGAAAACTGAAATTGTTGATTATTACAGTTTTTAATGCTTCAAATAAACAGATGGTGTTCGTGTTGGAAATCCCACGTCTAATCTCGCAAAACAGGTTATCCACCGGATCTTACTATCAACATCTGAAATGCCATTACTGTTTTTAGCCATGTGTACAACAGGTTTGTACGCATAAGACACTCTTACATGAAAACTGTTTATTGTCTAAAAACGAAAATACCCCATTGAAGATGAGTAATGCAATAAATATAATCCTCGAAACTTGAACTGTAATATGAACATAAAAAAACTAACAAAATGGGCCATTTAACAACATATTTGGTGTTGATATTCTACAACAAAAACAAATACTTTCTCGTATAAGGAAACATACAATAATTAACATTTATCACTTTTCACGAAACAATGTAAGTGCGCTGTGACTTTACATACTTATTACAGATTGTAGAACATTTTTTTCATTGTGTATTGTCATGTAACACCTACGTCGTTTTTTTTCTTTAACAACTGCATCAGGATCGAGAACTCTGGGCTGAGAAGTAGACGGCTTACTTTATTCGTCGTTGGTAATTTAGGATTCTTTGCATGGCTGAACGAAGCTCCCTAGGAAGTCTTGGATCTGATAAACGTCCTCTCATACGAAGTTAAATTAGAGTTTGCCTCAGGGGAACAATAAAATTTCGTCGCCTAATGGAACTTTCAGTCCCAGACTGAAAAAAAAAGGAATTTACAGAAGCTGGTTGGATACCAAATAGCACAAGGCCATCTTCTCGTTCTCTAACCAGTATTGTAATTTACACACTTCCGATCTAATGCATTACCCCCCCGCCTTCATAGTGTTATAAAAAATATAGGATCTTATCAGGTTTCTTTGATTCCTCTACTATTTTGTTATCATGCTGCATAGATTGCTATACGAGAACATGTGTATTGGTTTTGGAAGATACTACTAAGGCTGTACAACATAAACTTAGAAGTACCTGGCTGTGTTTCCTTCTTATTTGGAACTACATGTTGGGGTACTTGTTACTTATTTTTACGCTTCCTGCCGACATAGGTCAGTTGGTTGATGCGCAATTCTACATGTAATTCTACTGACGTGAACCAGTCATCTGCTGTGAATTTCTGTTCGTATAGACGAAAGCATTGAGCAGGTAGTGGTGAGTCTTTGCATCATCAGTCCATACTTATTCGGTTTAGTTTTCTTGTAGGCACAGGAAGGACATCGGCCGGCCCACGAGCATCTCGTATTTTGTAGGGGACTCACCCGAAATATAACAATTTCGACAGTTCTCTATGAGTGTCTCGAAAATTTCACGTATTTGGAGAAATTTATCGGCATTTCTCGAGTCACAGGGTTATTATTTTCCAAATTGGTTGCCACGGACTTTAGTTCAGGTAAATGCGTAATAATCGACCAGTTGCAGGCGCTCGTTTTGACCAATTGTACATGTTTTTTCCATAGGCATAGCGAGGTCGCCCATAGGAAGTTGTTCAGGTTGATCGATAGCAGCGTCGTCCTCGGCGTAGTCTATAGTGTATTGTTCATCCGTCAACAACGAAAAAATCCATTGTGAAGGAAGTTCAAATCGTACACGCAACTGACATCCTCGGATCAAATTTGACCGCAAAGTCAACAAACCAACAATTGTGATGTTTAAATTAAACTGTGGTTTGAGGTATACGTGCTCATACCGTATGAGAAGTCACGGGACCCCCACCACATAACTGAGAAAGCTCGAATCATCCGACGATATCATTAAAGGATTAATTTCTATATTCTTGAACGAATCTATAAAATCAAGTGGCTGGGTTTCAATTTACATAGCTCTTTGTATGGTCTTGTTTGCTGATCAACATTATATGATTTCTAGACATGTTCAATCTGTGCAGCTTCTTCACTTTCATATTAATGTCAATAAGAGCATTTCATCCATTTTTGAATAAATGTGGTTCATCACAAATTGTAGAAATACTCTGAGCATTGACTATAAAATGGAATGGACTTGATCCGTGAGTATTCTCCGAGCAAATCGTCTCAAGTGCGTTTTTGATCGTTGCGGCCCTGATTAGAAATAGTGCCAACAACGCACAAACCAAGTCGCTGCTAGTTTGTGATCACATGAACAATAAATCGTTTTCAGATCTGGGATTCTTGTATCTTTACTAGATAATAAGCCACAACCTGCTTAATTTTTACGAATCCCTCTTCATGGAATAAGGGCATGATTTCTGATAAATCACTTTTCAGAGTTTCTAGTTGATTTGTTACCTCAGAATTCAAGATTTATTAGCTGAAAATTGTACACTGTGAGCACTGGGATCAGCCCTAAACTTTGTCCAAACCCTGCAATAATCGTAAAACACTAAACAAGGGTAGACATATTTCTAGTTTAACTGCCTGAAGATTTTTCTTATGGTTTATTACGTAACTCTCCACCTATTATCTCATTTTTGTACATGTTCTGGGAGAACTCAACTTGCTCCCTATAAAATGCAACGTCTTCCTGCACAGGTGGTTCTGGTTTAAGTGCCAGCCTGCTTCGGGTTTGTAAGTAGTGTTGCAATTTTTTCTCGATTCGTCCTTTTTCATAATCCAGATTTCGTTTTGGCATTCCAGTTCAGCCATTTGATCCTGAAGCTCTTTTATATAGAATCATTATGGCATCGTATATCTGAGATTTTAAATGAGTGGTTGACCTCACGTTGGTTACTCTCGTCCATCAGACCTCTTTACGGTCATATCTCAGTTTAGATTCAAGTTCTTTTAGGAAGCCAATTTCATCTTGCAGTTCAGCAATGTGTGACATCGTTACATCAGTTTGTGCAGCAGCACTTAAAGAATGTTGCATATCTTCGTACTCAGCGTCAAGCATAGCTTCTAGTCTGCAACCTTCTTTTTTGACTCAATATTTTGAGCTTCAAGAGATGGTTTAGGGCTCTCTGATCTTCCTAGGTTCTTCAGTTGAGTACGCAGCATCTCTATTTCTGACTCGTATGTTTTAGTCTTTTTTATTTTTTTTCCAGAAAATCGAGTCTTATTGCAAGTCGATGAAATTCTTGCGCTTTTTGAGAATTTTTTTGAACTCTTTCTATTCTTCGTTGTACGCATCCGTTACTTGGCGGAGTTCCTTGTAACGATCGAATTTAGAATTGGCTTCTGTGAGCTGTTTCTTCAGGTCCAAAATCTCCAGCTGATATCTAGTTTAGTGAATTCTCTAAGCTCATTGAAAGATTCTTCCAGTTCTTTGCGTTGTCTTTAAGTACACTGCACGTCTTCAGCTATCACAGATTCTGCTTCGGCTAGTGCCTCCTCATATGTCTCTTCTTGAATAGGCCTCATTTCACGTCCGGATGATTCTTCTTTGGGTGGATAATTTTTTCAATGGCATATACCCTAGGGATGCTTTTTTTAGGTGATACGTTGCCATAGTGTCCAAAAGTATGACGTCTTAATGTTTTTTTCGGTGTGGTGATGCCGAGGCTCCATTTGAAAGCGCCCGACAATAGATACTACTTCCGTTTTTAGTCTTTCTATCTCGGCAGATACTCTTTGTTGCTTTTATCCATCTCTTTTAGCTTAATTGCCTGCTTTTTGAGCCGAGTTTCGAGATCGCGAGTCAAGTTCTATATCCTTGAAGTGTCTCTTCTGTAGCGACAAGAGTTACTTTCGTTTTATTTTTGACAGTTTTAGTGCTTTGGGCGAATTCTGGTAGATCTAGTCTCCTCCTCTCAGCTAAAGTAACATTCCCGAATAATCAAGATTTGGCATTACCGCCAAGAGCCTGTGAGAGCAGTCTAGTCAATTTTCGAATCGCGATAACTGATAAACTCCTTCCCCTCGCTTAGTGTGCCTTATCACATTTCCTAATACGACAAAGATTTGTTTATGTTAGCCCCCTCTTTAAGACGCTCACCAGCAGCTTT